CTCTTCGGGATTTATCGAGTCAGCCTGCATCGTCAGCTTTCCTCCGTGGATTGCTGGAGTTTTGGTGGGTTTCCACCAACACTTTCCACTTTCCATGGGAAGAGATGACGGTTACCCCTTTTGATTTCTCTATGATTACGGGTTTTCCTTTTGGAGGCGAGCCCGTAGTCATAGAGTTCGTTAAGGGGTCAGACGAGAGACTATGCGACCTTGTGGGGGACTGTCTTGCGTTGGCCCTTCATGTGTACGCGCAGTCTTGACCGTACTCGGTTCTTGCCGACGAGTTTTCAGCTGTCGAGCTTGATCGACAGTGTACACCTGAGTAGCTGGCTCGGATATACATTGCTCACATTCTTTCCGTCACTATATTGAGTGATCGAGGAGAGTGTTTTGCCATTGGGTTACTTATTTGCCTCAATGATTTGGGGCAAGTAGGTGACCTGAGTTGGGCGGAGGTGTCGTATACCCGTATGCTTACATCTATCGGCAAGGAGACCCGGGTGATGGATTCCGCGGCAGCTACTGAGGTGCCTCGGATCTCCCTTACGTGGCATGGTCGTATCCTTGAGGTACGCGTTTTAAGCTTCATTCGGTTATTACTTTTGCTTTTCTCCTTTAGGCTTATCTTTTCTAGATTTCAGGCTTAGGGATACTCGTACCTGCCTTTCTTAGCCCCTAGGATGCTTGGGGCTGCTCGTTTTCCTATCGGCCATCGATTGGTCACGATTAAGAAGAGACGAGCCACTTCTGCCAGCAACTTTCGTCAGAGGATCCTTTTGGCGACTCGTGCGTCGGTGAGTATTCCAACTACATGTTTATTTTTTTATTTTATATATTTACTGACGATTTTTCATGTGGTTGTGTTTTATAGATCGATCTCCGTCTTTGGAGTTTGATCGTCGGAGTCCCTGAGGTTATCCGGTCTGGCATGGTTCGTTGTCGTTTCCGGGCCCTCTATCTGGGACTCTAGTTGTTCCAGAGGACAGACGCTTAGTTTTTAGGCGAGCGTGTTCTCTAGCAGCTTTCGTTTGAGGAGACAACTTTACCATTCTAAAACTTCGCACATGGAAAAATGGAACAAGTATTTAAAAACGGAGGGAGTATTCCTTGATAAATTCATATCAGATCAGAAAGATTCAGATTAGACCAGCTTTTTTACTTATCGTTAAATATCATTAAATGTGTATTAAAAAATTTATAAAAATTACATATTTAAAACATTTATGATGAGACGAATCTAATAATATCCATTTTGATAATGTTTTTCTTTATAAATTAGTACTCCATATTAAAATACGGTCAAAGTTTAATCAAATTGTTAATTTTTTTTTTGGTGAAGAAAAGAGGGAGAAACCCAAACAAAGAGCAAAGAAAAAACACAAAACAAAAGACAAGAAACAAAAATAGCAAAAAAGAAACACGAAACTACCCTAGTCCTTGTCCAAAGGGACAAGTCTAGCTCTAGACACACCACTCAAGCCCTCCAATAAAATAGCATGAAGGTCCTCCGAGACCGCCCTAAAAGTCACCATCTTCTCCACCGAGTTGACACCATAATGGGCTAGGCAGTCCGCAGCTCGATTAGCCTCACTATAGCAATGACTAAGCGTCACTTTCCAACCGTCTCGAGAGATGATGGCCTTACACTTTCTGATGATATTAATGAAGGGAGAGTTAGTTAGGCATGGCTCAACTAACATTCGAAGCACACACTCCGAGTCCAGGGAGACTTGAACAAGCCTATGCCCAGCATTCCATGCCACTGCCAGGCCACGCAACACACCTAACAATTCAGCTTTATGGTTCGAGCAAATCCCACAATTAGTAGTTAATATTTCAAAATTTTCTCCATTATAACCACGAATTAAACCCCCAGCACCTGCTTGACCCGGATTACCTTTTGAAGCTCCATCAGTATTGAGCTTAACCCACCCAACATTCGGAAGTTCCCACCTAATATACCTCTCAACTCTTCTACTTGAACCTCCAGGGTTGAACATAATGGGATTCACCATGGCTTGATTAATGTCAAGTACTCTAGCCATAATGAAGGCTGCCTAATCAGGGGGAATCTTAGGTGAAGCAACAAAGGTCCTCTCGTTTCTCCAATGCCACAACCACCAACAAGTAACCAAGAACACCACCTTACGTGCTTCCCCTTCTAGCGAATTTTCAGCTATAACATTGTGCAAAATCCATTCACTACAAGGCATCGAATTAGTGATCAAGCTAGCATCCCATCCTAGTTTTCTCCACACCAAGGAAGCTGCTGGAAAAACTCGGAGAATATGATTGATGCTCTCTTCATTGGCTCCACACACACCACAATGAGGATCATTCATCATCTTGCGGGTAAAGCGCATAACATTAGTCATTAGGTGGTCTCTAATAGCTAACCAAGTGAACATACGAATTCTCTGCGGGACACGAGCTTTCCAAATAGCCTTCCTGCCTTGGCTTTCTTTTGCTGGGATTTCCACCTGCTTTCTAATTATCTTGATGGCTGAAGAAATTGAGAAACCCCCAGACGGATTACCATTCCAGAACAACTCATTGACAACATCATCATCACTCAAAAATTCGTGAGAGGCGATTAAATCAAGCACATCCAAGCTAAAATACTCAGCAAAAAGTTCATACCTCCAGCCCAAATTAAAATCCCAATAGTCACGAACTGGATTATCAATAACATTCAGCTGAGGCTTAGGATTAGCTAGTTCATGTAGAGGTTCGCAAGCAGCCCATCTATGGGTCCAAAAAGCAATTTGATCCCCCTTTCCCACTGCCATGCTCCCACCTTTTTTAAGCACATTGATGTTCTCCACTATGCCTTTCCACGCATTCGAAGCATCCGCCTTCCCTTTAAACATCTCTAAATCACATCGTCCATCACAATATTTACTCCAAAGCACTCGAGACTAAAGAGAGTTCGGTCCAATTACCAATCTCCACCCCAATTTAGCTAAGAATGTTGCGTTTGCTTGCCTCATTGAACAGAGACCTAGACCACTCTCACCCTTAGGTTTAGTGACAGTTTCCCAAGCAACAAGATGAACCTTTCGATGCTCCTCATCACCACCCCATAAAAATCGTCTAGTCTTCTTATCAACTTCATCACAAACTGATTTTGGGATCTTCGTGTTCTACATTATGAAATAAGGGACTAATGAGAGACAAGCTTGGGCTAAAGTATTTTGGCCTGCTAATGACAAGGTTTTCTTTTTCCAGCTAGCAAGCTTAGAATTAATCCTCTCAACAATGTATTGATAATCTTGCTTTTTTGTCCTACCATTAATCGTAGGGACACCAAGATATCTTCCCAAATCATCTGTGCAACTTACCCCCAAAGTATCACAAATAGAATTACGCACATCAATATCAATATTATTTGAGAAATAAGCACAGGACTTGTCAAAACTTACTTTACTCCCAGAAGCTCGACAAAATTTATCTAAGCATCCCTTTAAACACAATGCTTGGTCGACAGAAGCATCACAAAAAAGGATAAGGTCGTCTGCAAACGCAAGATGGGAGATATCCGGGCCTCTTCTACTAGCGCCCACTGCCTTCCAATTCCCAAATTTCACCTCATGTTCTATAAGGTGAGCTAGCCTTTCCATACAAATTACATAGAGATATGGAAAGAGGGGATCTCCCTGCTTAATCCCACGACTCAGAGTGAAGCTCGATGTTGGTTCACCATTCTAAAGAATTTGCAATTTTGCCAACGTAACACATTGCATATCAATATCCACCATTGATTGAGGAAGTCGAAGTTCCATAAGAGACTCTCTAATGAACGACCAACGAAGCCTGTCATAAGCTTTCTCAAAGTCAATCTTGACCGCCATCAAACCTTGCTTCCGCCTCATAGAATACAACATCTTTTGAACAATGATTATATTGTCCGTAATTTGACGCTTTGGCACAAAGCTTCATTGTGTTTGGAGAGATAAGGGTTGGTAACAACAGTTTTAACCGATTGACAATAACTTTAGTCACAATTTTATAAGTGATATTACAAAGTTCAATTGGTCTAAAGTGATTCGGTTTTTGAGGGGACTCCATCTTTGGAATTAAGACTAAGAAAGCATCATTCAACCCTTCCAGAAAAGATTTTCCTTCAAGAACATATTTTACAAGACTAATCAGGTTTGGGGCTACCAACTCCCTATAATTCTGAAAAAAAGCGGTTGAAAACCATCGAGCCCAGGGGCTTTAAACGGCTTCATCCCAAACAAGGCTTTCTTCACTTCACATCCTGTAAACGGTCGAGAAATCAACTCCCAACTTCCTGACCAATGTGCGGAAAGTGATCAAGCAGCAAACGTTCTCCAGTAAAGGAAGTTGGTTCTTCTTTAAAAACATTGATCCAATAATTCACAACCATATCCTTCACTAAGAGTGGACAGGTAATCCACACACCCTCTGCATTTTGAAGAGACTTAATTCGATTTTGCCTCCTTCTAATAATGGTTGATAAATGAAAAAACTTTGTATTGCAATCTCCATCCCTAAGAGCCTCAACTCTTGATTTTTGAAACCACAAAATCTCCTCTTGATTCAAAATATCATCCATATCTCTTCTCAATTTCATTTCTAGCTTGATAAAGGTGCCTTTCACGACCTGTAGCCAACCTCTTCTACACACCATCAAGTCTAGCCCACAACTCGGCTTTCTTCTTAAAAATGTATGAAAAATTTCTTTATTCCATGAAGACAAAAATTCAGCAAAGGTTCGAAGGAATGGGATAATCGGGACATTATTATCCCACTTCGAATGAATAAACTCATCGAACTTAGCATGATTCATTAAATTGTTAAATCAGATCAAATCAGACTAGATAAAAAAATTCAGATTATACCAGATCAGATCTTAAAAATTTCATATCAAATCTCTCTGTGTTTAGGTGAAAAGAACAAGTCCTAAAGTGAAATTATGTGAAACCTTAGGTGCTCGAAAATGTAAATTAGGCTACTTATATAGACGTCTAATTGTGTGATTTTTGTATACTCGGACAAACAAACTCAACCCACTCAGCTGACTCTCACCTTCGTAAACCAAAACCTCGAGCTTCATCAATGGCGAATCGCGTTCTCCACGCTTCACTCTTCATCTCCTTCTCTCTCCTCTTCCTCGCAGTATCTTCCGCTGTTGCCTCTTCCGATGCACCCTTCATTGTCGCTCACAAGAAAGCCACTCTCAAGCGCCTGAAATCTGGTGCCGAACGCGTTCTTGTTTCCATCGATATCTACAACGAAGGATCTGCGTAATCATCTTGTCTATCATTCTTGTCTTATTCGATTTAATTACCCTTAATCAATTTGATTTTATGGATCTAGGGTTCTTTGATTGCTTGAGTTTGTCGTTTTACTTTTCAGTCGATTGTGTTCGTTGACTTTTTTATTCATTTTTGTTTTATGATGATTGATTTTGTTGTGATTGATTGTGTATTTAGGTATATTAGAACGAAAATTTCGAGCTAATTTTATGAAATTTGTTTTAGGTTTTGATTGGATTTGTATTTAATTGTTGATTTTATTTGCCAAGCTTTTTTGAATGAAATGAAATTGAGAATATAATAATTTTAAGTTTTCTGCATCACCTCTAGAGTGAAGGTGAAATGTTGATTTGTTGAGTGAGTAGTAATAAGCTAGATCTATTGCTGTTATTCAGTTTAATTAGACACATTGTGTTGATGTCAAGGCATAATGCAATCTATATATTCGATTGATGATCGAGAAAATTGTATAGATAGAATATTGAATAATATGCGAGTTGATGACGGCGGGATAATTTTAGAGCATATTTGGTGAGAGTTTTTTTTGGGTTGGAAACGGATTCAATAAAACAATTACCGTTACAAAGTGTTTGGTTGGGTGGCTTGGGTAACAATTACCGTTACCTAAGGGTTATGGTTTCCACCCATTTGTTACCTCTCTAAAATCTTAGGTAACAATTACCCTTACTCTCGTCAATCAAAAATAAAGGGAGATAGTTTTAGGTGATTCTTTTGCATGATTAAACCAAACAAATAAAAAAGTAAGTATTAAATGATTCCTTTCCTCCCTCTTTATTTGTTTCGTTTCCACTCCATTTCTATTATTCATACCTAATGCCCCCTTAATGTTTTGGTCAATTAAGATCTTCCGTAAGATGCCGACAAAGCCTGCCATTGATAGTTGAAGAAGATATTGTGTATTGATAGAATATTGAAATGTTATGCTATGTCTTAGAAAATAATCTCATATGTTAATATTTGGTTGATTAAGTAAAAAAACTTTCCCAAAAAGCCTACATTTTATTCCCAATTCAGGATCGTCTAGAGTAATGCTAATTCATTTAAGATTATCATAGATAGAGTACTTGATTCTCTCTTGGTTATTTCCCTGTTTATCTTTGTTGAAAGATCCCTTTTTTCCTGGCAATTATTTATTGAGCCATTGGTTGTAAGCAAGAGGATAGCAGCTGAGCTTCTTATTTCTCCATGAAGCAACCATTAATATTTAATGACCTTTATTGAATTTTGCAATTTCTTCACCCATTCATCTGGTAGCTTGGGATGTTGTCACTTTGATTATTCCATGCCAAACCAAATTCTAACCAAGAAGGAAAATAGCAATCCCTTTCAGGTAGCAGGATGAAGATTGAACGGGAACTTTTACAAGTACTCTTAACTAGTAAATGACATTTTTACATAGATAGTAGACAGACTTGTAGATATTGATAGACAGAGAGGGAGTTGGTGTCAGTGGGGATGGAAGGGACATCGGGAGAAAGAGATCCAGTGATACACAGGACTTGGATTTCCATCATGGTTGTAGAGTGTTTTAAATTTACACTTGAAGTCTTGAGTCTTTAAAATCAGAAGTATAAAATCACGAGTAGATTAATTTAAAATTACAAGTATAAACATGAAATACCTGGTAGATTATGTTCAACTGAATGCTATTTTACTCACTATTGCAACTTGCAACACAAATAAATGTGGCTTCTTTTTGCTATGACCACTATCCACTACTTTTTAAGCTTAGCAGCCCAACTTTCAAAGAACTTTGGTTTAGAGTCTTAGTGATACAATGATAAAACATGAATGCGCAATAAAGCACAAAGTGACAAAGGAGAGAAAGAAGGGGGTTGGTTTAAGCTTTTTTACTTTAGTTTTACTAACCAAATTCTTTTAAATTCCCGGTCTAATTTAAAATCTCTAGTTTCAGTTGAGCATTTTGCTTAAACCTTATATTTTTGTAAATGTTTAGTGTGAGCCAAATTGCTAATTATAAGTATGGTTGGCATCACTTACCAGTATTTATCGGTTTGTTCATGAACCGCTTAATATTTAAATAATGAATGTATTGCCTTATGTAAGTTATGGGTGTCACTTGATTAACGAAATTCTTAATAACACCCGGGTGCAAAGTGCACTTAAGAGTATTTTTTGCTCATTTTGATGGTTATTACTCATTTAATCATCAAATGGACAAAAAAATCCTTGTTGCACCCGGGTGTATATAAGAAGTTTCACTTGACATGGACCAAATATTTTTGTGTCTGCTAACTTCACTTTAGTTAACCATATTGAAGAGCCTTCAATGAATGAGAGTAGCAATAAATGTAACCAGAAGATATATTTTCTGTGGAATTCGTAATTTGAAAGGGAAAACATGTTGGTAAAATTGTTTTCAAGATTAACTTTGGATACAATCATAAATGGAATAAAGTTGAATCTAAATGTTATGAGACCAATCTTAAAAATGAAATTACAAGACAACAGGGGTCATGAAGATTCTTAAAGGAGAGTAACTGAAGGTCTTTATGAAGTTTCTGTTGTCTGGCTCTCATGGTGCTTTATTGTATTGACCTCTGTGCATTATGTAGAGTGTTGATAGATTTTGGAAGTTAATGTGCAAAGAAAATTTTATGAAATAGATTATGTAGTTACTATTTGGCGTCTGATGTATGTTGAAAGTCGCTGATGTGAAGTATATATAAGATTGTCCTTATTGTCTTGGATTCTCGGAGATGGCAAAGCTGCAGATCTTTTAGCTGTGCACTTGGGTTTGTTTCTGTCGCACGCTTGGAATGGGTGAATATTTCATGTTCAATGCTCTTTACCAATCTGTATTATTTATGAATTTATCATTAAAGCTTTGTGTTTTATTGTTTTGATGCTTGAGAATATTTGATTTCTCCTGTCATTGCCTGTTCTTGTTATCTAAACTTGGTGGTCAATACTCAATATGCTTCAAATGCTAAATTTACTTGATGGCCTTCCTTTGATCTGTTTTGAGTTTCAATGCAATAGCTTATTGTCTTCCATGATGGTTGATGCTCTTCCTTGAAAAATATGAACACAAATGACCTCTTTTGTTCTGTATATTCTCAGGACGGCGTATGATGTAAGCCTGACTGATGAGAGCTGGCCTGAAGATGCTTTTGATATCATAGATGGCAAAACCTCTAATTCATGGGAGAGACTTGATGTGTTAGTTACTCATTATCATTATCATATTATATTCTAAAATGCCTGTGTAATAAAGCTCAATGGATCTGAAGTAAACCCTTTCTTTTGTTGCCAGTGGTGCTCTTGTTTCACACTCTTTTGAGTTGGAAGCCAAAGTGAAAGGAAAGTTCCATGGTGCACCAGCTGTGATCAAATATCGTGTTCCAACTAAAGCTGCTCTCCAGGTTTAATATTTATTGCAATTTCTCTATGATGGTTAAATATCACTTTATTCTAGTAGATGAGGGCATAAGTTCAATTTACCTTGGGGACTATTTCAGCTGAATGTCAAGCTGAGTAGCCTGAGTTATCTACCCGTAGTCATACTTAAACCAGACCTATTACTTGCCTCAATTTGACTTATGCAAGGGATTATAAGGCATCTGTTGGAAATGAGGAATTGAGCCAAGTATTAAAGAAAGGGCACAATTGTAGGTGAAGTAAATTGGGATTTTTTTATTTTTTATTTTTTATTTTTTTTTTACTTGTAATGAGGTGTAAATGTGGGTCATATTTGGTTCATGTGCGTAAATCATATTGCTTATCGTTGACCTCTATTGTCCCCAACCCTTAATGGTACTTGGCTAATTTTGCGTGATGACTGGTGGCTACAAAATGCATATAAGCTTCCATGTCATACTATTAGTCTATTACCATGAAGGCCATGTGCTCAAGGATCTCATATTGTGGTCTCTAGTTCTCTACCATTATGACCTTACCTGTGATCAAATTTTGTGTCCAACCACCATAAGTACCATATATAGTATTATGTCATTCTTGATTTACCAGTAGCAGTAATCGATAGATGGTCTGGAAAGTTATGCTAGTTTCCTTTAATTCCTTGGGGGTGGGACTATGACTTGCCACATGCCTACGGGAAAATCCTTTGCCTAGTGTCAGGGTGACTTTTGGTGCTAGAAGAGAATTCACCTTGAAGCTCAAAACACCCATGTTTGAAACACTCAGTAGGGTTCTGTTTATTAGAAACTCATGGAGTTGAAATGTACTGTGTAGGAAGCGTATTCCACGCCAATCTTTCCTTTGGACATCCTTGAAGACAGACCCCCAGAGGCTAAATTCGATTGGGTGAGTGTCTCAGAACATATTTACAACTTTCCCCGATATTTTATGTATCATGTTCACTGATGAATTTTCATTTATCTTGTTGATTATAAATTGTTGGCGCTATGGATCTTTCAGGCTAAGGTACATGATTTTTCTTATCATAAGTTGTTCCTTGTATAAATTTTTTTTTTTCCCCTGTTTTTCAAAATACTAATACCTTGTGTTTACTGGAATTGCAGAGATTGCTGGCTAAATATGGTTCTTTAGTCTCAGTTATTTCCATAGTCTCTCTTTTTGTGTACCTTGTTGCAAGCCCATCGAGTGCTGCCAAAGCAAGCAAGAAGAAACGTTAGTTTCTGCTCAACTGATTACAGAACTGCTTTGTTTGCAGCTTACCTTTTGTAGTTTCACGAGTTTAGTGCTAAAAAATTCGCCATTGAGAATCTATGACCAAGTACATTTGTAATTGATACTTTAAAGGTAGGCAGATAGCTTGGTTAATTTGCTCTTTTGTAGTACTTTTTACGGCAGAAATGGTAAGATGAGTTTGAGTTTGTTCTCAATTGACATGTTACTGGCTTACAGCACGTACCAAATCATGTACGGCCGAAAGGACAATATAAAAGTTGGATTTTTCTTCAGTGTCTTGTAGCCTTTTTTGTTAAAGGGTGGCATAGATGAATTTAAAGCAACGCCAAAAAATTTCAAAAATAGTTTGCACTGTTGCCGTGCAGCGTTGGCCAATAGCCAAGCTGAGTCTAATCTCAACGTAGTGAGATGGAGATTAATAAAGTATTCATTATTCAAGCCAAACTTCTATATTTCAATTCATGCCAAATGACAATGTTTTTTTTTTTTTTTTTTGACAAGGACAATGTTGTAATTTTAGAACAACTTTTTAATTATTTTTTTAAAATGTTTTTACAACTTGATTAATCACCAGCCTTTGCTTCCTTTCGTTTTCAACCTCTCTTCTTATCTCATTATCATGGCTGATGAACCCAAACAATCGCAACACACACCATGCCTAACACCACCAACAAGCCTCAACCCCAACTCCACCATGTTCGGCGGCGTCATTAACGAAAAACCCTAACATTAACATTCAAATGGTAGGTGTTTGCCTTTCTCCATTGAAAAATCACAAAGTATTGGGTGCAGTAAGCCGCACCCAATGTTACGTCAGTTGAGAAGTATCATTGTCATTTTCTTACGACGATGAAGAACAAGTTTTCACCCGATGAGAAGTTGTTGGTGGTTACGGCGAAGGAGAGGAGAGAAGCGAGGTCATCCATGGCAGAAGAGAGAAAATTTAATTGCTTGAGATTCTCGAATTTTTCGAAAAATGCCCAAAAAATCGAATTGGGGCTTTCTTATGTAATGTATAATTGTTGAAATTAATTGTCCCATATGATTGTATGTTTGATTGTAAGCATTTTGATAACATATGCATATATTTTTGTTGAGAAATGAGCAACTTATGTTATACCAATGACCTCGAGATCTTCAATGGAGGTTATGTCATTGTTATACATATCGTCAAACAAATTTTACATATTCTCAAACAAGTTATACATATCCTTTATTGGCTATATTATATCATTTATGATTGTGTTTATGATATCCTCTATTGGCTGGATGATATCCTCGATATCAGGATATCATCCAGCCATAATACATGTGACTTGTTAAATTGCGATGCCTACTGCATGCGGCTACTACAATCGGAGTTGCAACTGGCGAGTTGGTAGATTGCGTGGCGTAATAGCTGCACGTGACTTATTAGATTGCGACACTGCTGCCTGCGACTACTGTAATCGGAATTGCTGCAAGGGAGTTGGTAGATTGCGGGGTGTAGTAGCTATTTGCGACTTGTTACATTGCGACGCGTTCTAAAACATGCAAGACACATTCATTCAAGTAATTTGGATCTTTTACCAAAATGGCTATTTTGACTAAATTATTTACCAAAACGGCTAATTATAAAATTTAATTCACAAACTAGCTAAAGTTATTGATTTGAAAGGATATTATTTATTTTTTATATTCCTTTGACCACGTTCGGTTTACTTTATTTTTGTGATAGATATGATCAAGATGAAAAAAATATATACAACTATTTTTGTGATTCCAAAAATATACAATTTGGGGTAATCTTGATAGAACAATAATACTTGAAATTCCAAATTTTTGTGATTGATATGATCAACATGAAAAATTAGGGTTTTTAATTTTTTTTTTTATTGAAATTAGGGATCTGCGAGTTTGCGACTGTTTACGTTCTTCATAAATTTGTATACTGTTTAAATTTTCCAACTTAAAAAAATCTTTAAGGAAATAAAAATAAACCAAAAAAACAAAATATATTAAAAAAAGAAATGAACCAAACTGGTTCAAAGGAAATAAGAAATAGATAAATTCCTTCCAAGTTAATAAATTAACTAGTTTGGGAATTAAATTTTATAATTAGCCGTTTTGGTAAATACTTTTGTCAAACTAACCGATTTGGTAAAAGATCAGGTAGCAGACTTTGCAAAGTAAATCTGACTTAACAGAATAATCACCAAATCCAAGATTTGCATGTAAAACCACAGTGAACGGCAACCAAATAATTCACATGAAGAAGGGTTTGCAAGTTAAACCCCATCTCCACCTTCAATTAAATTAATTAAAACACTTCATTTAATTATGAAATAGAGATTGAATTACCATACAAATAATTCAACGCCACATACATTCTCCCAAATAACACCATCTACTCAATCTAAAAAAAACAAAGTACATATGCCAATGTATAACACCAAACAACGGGACCATTTGTGAAGATGATACCCAATTTTTTCATGAAAATACATACATTAATGAAACCTAACAGCATTGTAATTGCCAAGACGAAGCGTAATGTGATTATCCATTCATCAATGGACATTGACGCTTATCATTATTAACGAAGAACAGTTATCCATATCTCCATAGCTTTGATTAAGAATTTCTCTCTTTCCTTTCGTTAAAGTTGTTTCTTGAATTCCTAACCATGGTTAGGAGGACAAACAAACGTTAATGTCAACATAGTGGATGTTCTTTAAAAAATAAAAAAAAAATAAAAAAAAAATAATAAAAAAAAAAAAAAAACATAGTGGATGTTAGATAATGTTCAAAACAATCTTTACACTACCTCCGTTAAATGTTAGGAAAAATTAGAAAAAATAATTCCAACTTTCATCAATTTTGGTCAATGATCCCAACTTTGGATTATTCTGGAATAATCCGAACTTTGGGGGGTCTTCTTTTTCTTCAGTCCTAATAACCGGTTACCCGTTGAAAAGGTTTTTTTTTTTTTTATGTTTTTTAAAAGCCACGTGTTAGCACATGATTAGCCCAAAAATTATAAAAAAAACTTTGAAAATTAAAAAAAAAAGAACTTTGAAAATTAAAATAAAAAAAAAAGAAATTTTGATTTTTACCACCTTCAAATAACGACTTTGTCGAATTTACCACCTCCAAAAAAAAACATTTACTTTACCACCACCAAAATTTCCAAAAATTCGATTTTACCACCCAATAACGAATTCCGTCCATGAATCCGTTAGTAGGGCCCACATTTTTTACGTTTCTTCTTCATCTTCCCAGATCTTCCATGTCAACCAACCAGCAAGGAAATCAACTACCTCGGTTGGTCGAAATTTCGTGTGGGTTTCGTGTCTGGGTGGTGGTGGTTTCAAGTCGCGATGGTTTTGCGTCTGGGTGGCGTGGTTTCTGGTCTGTGTTTGGATGGCGGTGGGGTTGGTCGTAGTTGTTAGGTGGTGGCTAGGGTTTTGAGGTCGGAAATTGGTGGAAAGGGGTAGAAATCGGTGCGGCTGTGGTGTGCGGTATGGTGGTAGCAGTTAGGTGGCGGGGTTGGTCGTAGCTGTTAGGTGGTGGCTAGGGTTTTGAGGTCGGAAATTGGTGGAAAGGGGGTCGAAATCGGTGCGGTTGTGGTGTGCGGTGCGGTGGTGGCGGTTAGGTGGTGGGGTTGGTCGTAGTTGTTAGGTGGTGGCTAGGGTTTTGAGGTCGGAAATTGGTGGAAAGGGAGTCGAAATCGGTGCGGTGGCTGGTAGCGATTAGGTGGTGGGGGTGGTCGTAACGGTTAGGTGGTGGGGCTGGTCGTAGCCGATCAAGCAGTGGGGGTCCTGACGGTGGCAGCAACCACCGATTGCTTGATGGGGATTTTTTAATTTTTTTTAATGTTTTTTTAAAACTTACCCAATAATATGGCGACACGTGTGCAAGGTAGGCCCCACTAACGAATTTTGGACGAAATTCGTTAGTTGGAGGTGATTGGTGGTAAAACTGATGTTTAATTTTTTTTATGAGGTGGTAAAGTAAATGATTTTTTTTTTTGAGGTGGTAAATTCGACAAAGTCGTTATTTGAAGGTGGTAAAAATCAAAATATTCTAAAAAAAAAACTTTGAAAATAAAATAAAATAAAATAAAAAAACAAAATATACTTCCCCCTTAACCACCAGCCCCCACCCAAACCACCCCCTCCACCAGCCCTCCCCCACCCCTTCCACCAGCCCCCACCCAAAAACATCCCCCACCTAGGCAGAAAACCGCCCCCACCCCCCCCCCCCCGACAACCACTCCCCATCCCCCAAAACACCTCCCCCTCCCTTCCCCCAGTCACGAAACCTTTCCCCACTCGCTGTTTCTACTTCTCCCCCGATCTCCTTCACTCAAATCGCCTCCCACTCCCGAAAACCCCCTAAAACTCCTCCCCACCGTTGAAAACCCTAGCTACTTAGGGTATCGGGGTAGTGGGAGGAACGATTAGGGGTTTTTGGCAGTGGGGAGGGGTTTCGTTGGTGATTTGGGGTTTCAGAGGTGGTGGATTCGGGTTTCGGGGTGGTGGATTCGAAGAGGGAGGAAGAAGACGACGGTGGAATTGGGAGGGTTTTGTTGGTGGTTGCGTGGAGGTTTCAGGGAGGGGGATGGTGGTTTAGATGGTAGCGGCTGGAGCGGCGACTAGGGTGATGGTTGCATGAGGGTCCTACGAGGTGGTGGTTGGGCTGGCGGCGACAAGGGCGGTGGTTGCGTGGGGTCCGACGAGGCTGGGCAGCTTAGACTTGGTGATTTTTCTAAAAAAAAATGATTTTTTTTATTTTTTAATTTTTTTGACCAATTAGAACTCGACACGTGTCAAGTGATCTGATATGATAGGTCATTGACTTTTGTTGACCGGTTTGGGGTTGAAGAAAAAGAGGAACCCCCAAAGTTCGGATTATTCCAAAATAATCCAAATTAAAGTTGGGATTATTGTAGCAAAATTGATGAAAGTTGGGATTATTATTTCTAATTTTTCCTAAATGTTATGTGCAACTTTGGAATATTTTATATCTCACAAATAATGCCCCAAATTTGCACATAACATATAACGGAGGTAGTAGCTTATTTTGTTACTTTTTTATTGTTTACACTATTTTATTTCGAAAAAATGGAAATAAATAAATCCACCTTTGCTCGAACTGAAAGTAACAAACCCACCTTTGCATATTTACAAGACAAACCCACTTTTGTCTTTAATCTTCTTTTAATATACATTAACCTTCTGAAACAGGTAAACTTTTCCTTTTTTTTTATTTATTATTTCTTCTGGTTTCTTCCCTTAATTAATTCTGGTAGTTGGGATTAATTGCTCGTGAAATAACTCCTCCTCTCCCTCTTCACTTCCCCTGCTCTTCCTCCTTTAAAATCGTTCATCATCACCATTGTTTTATCTTCCTTACACCTGAAATTCTCAACCTTGAAAGGTAATTTTCTGATTTTATCAATGGCGACAAGTCATGGTTCTGTTGGGTCTGGTTCCAGATCTAGAAGTAGGGGAAACTCTTCTCCTGGTCAAGTGTATTGCTACCATGACGAGGTAGCCCCTTTGAGAACTGTGCGCCACGATGGTCCAACAAAAGGGGAAAGATTCTATGGTTGTTCATACTGACCTGTAAGTTGTGTTAGGCTACTTTAATTTCAATTTTTTTAATTTTTGAGTATTAATTTGATTAATATGTAGGAGTAGAGGACATGCGGCTTCTTCAAGTGGTACGGCAAAGTAGATGATGTTAAGGTCTTGCAGCACAGAGTTCTTGTTAAGGACTCTAGGATATCTGAGCTTGAAGATGAGAACGAATGTCTGAGAGAGAAGGTCAAGAAGCACAAAGCCAAAAAGGAGGAGCTTGTGGATGAGGTTGCAGAGATGGGAATTGCCACCACTAAGACAATGTATAAGTTGAAGGAACACAACACTAACATGAGATTGATGCTGACATTGGTTTTCTCTTGGGCATTTTTTACATTAGTGTTGTTGTTGAAATAGTTCCTGAGGACTAGATGTTCAGGAAGTCTGTGTCTGGTTTTGGTGTTGGAGTAATGCAGTAGGTAGTATGTAGTAGTCTTATGTATGTGGCCAAGTTGTGTAATTTTTTGTTGTTTTTGGTGATGCAAGCAAGGTGTAACAACTCAGCCAGTAGTAGTAGATGTCAGTTGCAGGAAGTAGTAGTTTTAGCTTTGTTTTAGGTTAAAAATGGAAGGGTAATTTTTGGATATATGTAAGAAAATCTTATGAAAGGAATATATATGCATGACTTTATTAACTACTTTTTGGTTATTTTGTTGGAAAATGGTGATTTAAGTATTACATTGCACATTAATACTTGAAATGTGGACATAAATTGATAAATAAAAGGAAAAAATAAAGTGGACAGAAAATTGAAAATGCATAAAATACTTAAAATATGGTAGCAGTACAGATAGTTGGCCAGAGTATGTACACACAAGTACTCATACTGTTTGGCTCTAAAAGTTCAAAATAAGTCAAAATACATTTCCATTACACTGGAATTGGAACCTAACTAAAGGTGTCGCACTTTAATTGTTGGACCCTTGGCTGAAATTATAGGAGAAAGTTGTGGTGTTGAGATCTTGAGGTCCTGCTCCACTTGGTACCTGTACACAAATATAGTTAAGTTAGTTAGAATACAAAATGAATTGTATGCACACAACCCAAACAATCGGATACACTTACATTTGTGTAATTGGAACCATCATCAGCAACAAACACCCCAAAACCTTGTGGCACCTGACCTCTTCCTCTCTCCCACTTCTACCTCTACCACCCCTGGTACCTCTCCCACTGTCCTGACTCCCCTTTCCCCTGCTTCTCCCCCTTCCCCTGCTGCTCTCCCCTCCCCTGTTGTTCCCCCTTCCCATGCTGCTCTCCCCTCCCCTGCTGCTCTCCCCTCCCCTGCCCCTTTCATTTGTTGTCCCTCCTCCTCTGTTCACAACCCTTCCACCCTTGCGTATCCTTGAAGGTTGAGTAGTTGATGTTAAATTGACACTACATCAGGCTTGGTCATGCTTAGGCCTACCCCTAGGTTAATTGGGTGGAGGTTCAACTGTGGTGGTTGTTCCTTTGCTTGGACAGGATCTTTTGTTATGTCCTTTAGTGTTGCAAACACTATAGGTCATCTCCATGTCATGTTTAGTTAGCTTTCCAGGTTTTTTGGGGTCTTCAAAAGGGTCCCTTATCCTATTCTTCCTTGGTCTTCCAGGCCCTATCTTAATTGGTGGTGGGTCTAACACCAAATCACTCCTTGGCCAGTGTCTTTCCCCCTCTAGGGGAGGGATTGAATTTGAATAAGACACCGGGTACTTATCCTTCTTGTAATAATCATCAACAAAATCCTCTGCATTTCTATGTGTGAAGAAAATGCTGCAACAGCATGGCAACAAGGGTTGCCTGTCATATCCCATTTTTTGCAAGTGCACTTCCTATTTTCCAAGTCAACACTCATTGTGTCCAAAATGTAACTAACTTGGAACAATGTACTGCTTGAGGGGATGACATGACACTTGGCTGCCTCTTCTTTCTCCCACTCCAACTTTTTTTGTATCCTAGGACAAATTGATGTTGTCCATTTCTCCATTTCCTGTTTCTTTGTCACCAATCTTTTCATTAATGATGATCTAATGTCTTCAAGAATGTACATTAGTTGTTTTTCTCTAGCATGTATTATGTACCCATTGAAGGTCTCTGCCATGTTGCTTGTAATGGCATTAGACTTCACCTCTGTTTTTATAAAAGCTCTGTAGAACAGCTTAGGATTGTATGCTTTGAAAGCCTCTACAGCTGTTGGATCAGCTTTGGTTAATTTCTCTAATGCTTCCTCATAGTCAGCTCTACTGTACGCCTTGGCACAGCTCCAAAACTTAAGCTTTAATTCATTCCCTTTGAAGGACTTGTGCCAATTGGCATAAATATGCCTTGCATAGTGCCTGTGCTCAGCATTAGGGAGAATGACTTCAACTCCTCTTAAGATTGACTGAAACATACCAACAATAACCACTACATTAAAATAGACTAAATCAAAGAAAGTTACATGTAAACTAATGACATTGAAAGATTTAGAGGTACCTGATGCTCATCAGAAACAATAACAACTCCAACTCCTTCTCCCAGACCAAGGTTGTTGCTGAGGTGTTTAAGGAACCATTCCCAAGCAATTGGGTACATTTGATCATTACCATCTCTCCCTACATCTAACATCAACTGAACTCCTAGGAATGTTTTCAAGAAACAAGCATCTACACAAATTATCTTCCTACGCCCTTCATTCCAACCCATCTGCACACCCTCAAAACACACATACAGTCTCTGAAAAATCATTAGAGGCTCGTTCTTCTCCATGTAAGTTACCAAGTCCAAGTGTGTGTTAGGACTGGACCTTTTCACAACTTCTAGGTATCTACCAACCTTCCCATAGTGCTCCCTCATTGACCCATGAAGTTTCTTGTGAGCATGCCACTTAACTTTATAAGAAAAAACAGGTTTCACAATGGCTCTATAAGCTCTCCTCACAGTTTCTATAATATCTTTAGCAGGCCAATGAGGCCTAGCTTTGAACACATCAAGTAACTGGTCTACAAGCCAGCTACATTTCAATTACTTGTTCTTTTCCATGTTTCTGATGCAAGTATGATCACCAACCACAGTTTTAACAACAAATGATCCCCTTCTAGAATCCTAGGAACCATACAATCTAAAGGGACAAACTACACCTGACACCTATCCTTTGCTGCCTTTTCTTATCAGCTAAAACAATGTTCAAGTTCCTCCCTTGTAACACTGCAAACTTGGCCACATCTTTCTTAAGATCTTCCCTACTTGTGAATCTCTAACCCACCTTCCACTGAAATAATGTGAAGTATGTATGCTTCCCCACTAACAACCCTCTTCTCTCCCTTATTTGTTGAATGGTGTCAGCTTCATCACCACTTACAACAGGTGAATGTATTTCTTCCCCAGAATCCTCATATTCAAATTCAGGGTCACCTTCACCCTCTGCTTCACTATTAGGGTCTGTAGATCCCAGTTGTTGTGCATTAAACCCACCCTGATCAGCCTCAGTTTGGAGTTTATGAGCTTATTCAACAATTCTACAGTTGAATCCCTTCACTCTCTCCCTTGCTTCTTGTATTTCATCATCACTACTATCCAATCTATCTAATAACACTGGATCTTGTAATTGTTCTAAGTCATTATGTTCAACCCCACCCCCAAATTTGCTTCATATATCTCATAATCACCTAACCAATCCTCATCCTCTGAGTTCTTTCATTTACTTCATCAGCAGACTAAAACAACCATTCATCATCATCCTCATCCACCCACTCGTCTAACCCTATTTCATAATCATCATATGACTTATCCTCATTAGAACTAACACCATGCAGCAATAAATCTAGGGGAATTGGACTACAGGGTCTATTATCCTCCTAGTCATAATCAGATGGGACTTCAGATCTATGAAAGTTGTTGGATGGTTCAAAAATGTTTCTGGGTTCAGCTTCTGGTTTCTGTGTTTTAGTGGGGTTTTTTGTTTGTTGTTGTTGATTTGGGATCTAAACACATGCTAAACTGTTAGATGTAGATTTAGGTTTTTTGTTTTTTTGATCAACTGTGGGTGGGGGGACCAGCACAGAAGTTGTCTTCCCTTCATCATGTACAACACATGATTCTTGAGTCAACATAGGGCATTTTCTTGGGGTCATTTTCTTGGGCCTTGTGGGTGGACCAAGGAAGTGCTTTGGGATTCTAATGGGGTGGGTTGTGTTTGTTGATCCAGTCTGGGATCCATGGACACGATCTAAGAAATTAAGCTGCTTTCATCATCAACCACATACAAATCCAGACATCTACTATTATGCAAAACTTCCCCCATTGTTCTAACCTCATCATCATTATACACACTCTTTAACCCATTAACAAAATCAAACCCAGTCATCAAGTAATAAATCGTGTACACATCACCATAATTACCACATAGTGCTACTAATTCCTTTAAATAAAACCAATACAACTCATCAGCATTGTAGACATCTAAAAATGTCTCCCCAAAACCAAAACCGATGATGAACAACTTTTCACCGACATTATTGGTCGGGTTCAGTATTTAATCCCGAGAGTGCTTAAAAAATCGTATTTAATTAAATTCAATTTTTGAATAGTCCATGGATCAGTCTTGATGTTTAGTCTAAGCATAGTTCTTTTTTAATTTCAGCCCAAACCTTTTATTTAATTATTTTGGCCCAAACCTTTTTATTTATTTTATTATTTATTTTATTTTATTTATTTATTTTAGCCCAAATAATAATAATAAATTAGAAATGGCCCGAAATTATCAATTGTCACTTAAAAATGCTTAACGAAATTAGGGTTAAAAATAAATTTAGACGAAAAATGGACTACAGGCTCCTGCGTCACGGTAGTAGTCCACCGTGTCACGGCAATGTTCCCGTCTGACGGTGGAATTCCCCGTGACACGGTGCCCCTGCTGTGACACGAGGCAATTCCGTGTCCTTTTCGCGTAAACCCTTCACGCGTTTTATTCCCCGTACCCGAAATATTTCCCGCGTCACACAGCTGTCCACCGTGTCACGGAAATGCTCCCCGTCTGATGGTGGGATTCCCCGTGTCACGGTGTCCTCCATCGTGTCGCGGTGCAATTTTTAGAGTTTTTATATTTTTAGGGTTCCGTATGTTTCCTCAGCACAATTTTTCTATGAATACCCCCTCATTTCTGATGTACAGGGCATCAATCAATTCTCTATTTTTCTCTCCTCTATGCTCTAGCCTAAACACTAGCCTACCCTTCTTCTTTCAAAATTCCTTCTTCAAGCACTCTAAGGAATCCATACTTAACTCGTGGTTCTACCCTTAAGCCAAGGCGTGAAAGGTAGAACTGTTTGAGGGTTTGGCCCCAAATCAACTCTATTTAATTTAATTTAATTATCGTTGTATTATTATTTCCTTGAAGTTACTAACTCGTTTATTATTTTATAGTTGCAAGCAAACAGAATCAAAGTAAGAATTAGGTTCCTTTTATTTCTATTATTTTTCTAACAATTTTTATATTGTTGGATTTATTGTTAAATTGCTTCCAATATTAATGTTTATTCTATTGTTATTATGATCACCATATTTCATGTTTAAAGGGAATGTGTAATTGAAAATCACGCCTAATAAGATAATTTGGACAACCGGTTTAGGTTCCTTTTTAATCTTGTTGTTTAATCAAGTGATGACAAATATTATAGAATTATATGTTGCATTAATATTTAACCAATTTAGCTTAATAATAGTTTGGAGCAAATTGAATCTTTGTTTGCATGCCTTTGAGATCGCAAGAATCACTTTTCACCATAAGAATCGAGTAGAGGCCAATACGGGCGAATGTGACTCCATGACTCACTTCGTGCCATCATCCCCGATCCTCCTTTCGTGGTTCCCCATATGGAGTTAGTAATCTCATGGATTATGAATGGGTTTAACCTTCACGGGTCAATCGTTGTCTATCGTTGTCCCTTAATCGTGGTTTCCTTTTATGATCCGTGAACGGTTTACAAGTTCCTTAAAAAATTGTTGGTGGCTCCCTACTTTCCTTGTCCCTAATCGTATTATGTCAATTCCCGCTTCCTATGAGTGCCAAGCATATTCACAACATGCTTAACGTAGGCGCACATCGAGCGACGCCTACAAGCATCAACTGCAAAAGTCCTGTATTGCCCTCCCACATATTCCCATCCACCATTTTTGCGCATCTTAAATACCTCCCCATGGTAAAATTTCAAACACACATTTTCCATGTTTAATTATCAAACAAATGCAAGTAATTTAGTTAAAGTATTGAATAAACCCTAATTACTACCCCAAGCACAAGACTGTAACTTCAATTCATCCAATTCAAATAAAATCAAAACTTAGGGTTTTTGGAATTACCTCGACAACACACGTATTGCCCAAGATCGATGAAACCCAGTTAACAATTCCCCTTATTGAAGCTCCAAGCTTTGCGTCTACGAATCAAGAACGTCAATTTAATTTATTTATTTTTTTGGGAATTTCCTCTCAATTCGTCATCAAACCAGTAGAAATAGTGTTCGAATAAAATTAGTTGAACACCAAGAGAGTTTAGGAGGGAAATGGGAAAGATTAACCAATTCAACAGGTAGCCTGTAAATTGATATATTAAAAGAATATTAAAGACAAAAGTGGTTTTGTCTTGTAAATATGAAAAGGTGGGTTTGTTACTTTCAGTTCGAGCAAAGGTGGGTTTATTTATTTCCTTTTTTCCTTTTATTTCCTAACACAATTTCAAATGGATTTATTTACAAACATATCATTCGATTTACTTTGTTTGTTTATCATTGAGATTAACTAGGACTTCCTCATAAACTTAATATTTATATTTGAAAATTTTAGTCGTCATTCGAAGTGCGTCTATGTAAGCATATACTTGGCACCCATAGGAAGTGGAAATTGACATATACGATTAGGGACAAGATTAGGGAAAAAGAAAAGTAGAGAGCCGCCTAAAAGTATTAAGGTTCTTGTAAACCGTTCATGGATCATTTAAGGCAACCACGAATAAAAAACAACAATAGGCAACAACGATTGACCCGTGAAGATTAAACCCCATTCATAATCCATGAGATTACTAACTTCATATGGTTCAAAACCACGAAAGGAGTCACATTCGCCTGCATTGGCCTCTACTCGATTCTTATTGTGAAAAATATTCATGTGATCTCAAAGGCATACAAACAAAGATTCAATTTGCTTAAAACTAGATTAGGCTAAATTGGTTGAATGTTAATGCAACATATAATTCTAAAATAAGAAAAATGGAAATTAATAATCCCACCTTTGGGTTTTCTACTCAAAATAATCCAACCTTTTCGAAATCCCAAAACAAGCCTTTTCAACCTACAACCTGTTTAACAGGTTAAATTTTAATATATTTTTTTTTCAATCTCTCATCTCCCACCTTAGCACACTCTACCATGGCTACCCACCATAACCATTAACCACCAACACCCTTCCACTACTAGAAAATAGGTGATTTTCGACGAAAAAGTTATGTTGGAAACATCCTTAATTCCGTCAAAAACCTCATTTCCGACGGAATTTCCGTCATAAGCGGTTGTCGAAAAACGACTGATAGGAAAAACGACCTTTTTCGACGGAATTCGGTCCTAGGAAAATATATTCAGGCACCGGAAAAGTCCGCCGTAAATTTCCTACGAATTGTTAATCTGTCAGAAATTTACGACTGAAATTCCGTCGGAAAAGTTTTCAATCAAATTAAAAAAAAAAAAGCACGTCGCACCACAACCGACATTCCGGCACAACGTGTCACCACCACCGCCACCCCTTACAAACCCTAACCTAAGCCCACGCCACTCCCCTTAAACTAACACAAATCCAAGATCTAAACCATCCCCGCCACTCTCCCCACCCTAACCCTAAATCCGCCTAAGCCTAAAGCCACAGCCAGTCAGCCACGACAACCTTAGATCTAAACTATCCCCACCACTCTTCCCACCCTAACCCTAAACCCGCCTAAGCCCACAACCCCTAACTAACCCAACTCTAAGCCCACATGCACCACCAGCCTCTAACACAAAGCCCACAGCCCTAAGTAACCCAAACCTCAGCACACACGCACCACCGGCACCACTAATCCCACACGCACCACCAGCACCAGTACCACCACATCAGACCACCACTACCCAAATTTTAAGAAAAAATATATAATAAATTAAAAGAAAAGGGTAAACATACCTTATGAATTCTTCAATTTTTTGTTTATATGGTCAAATTCAACCATGAAAACCCCAGATCTGGAGTTTTCATGGTCAAATTCGACCTAAAAACCCATTAATTTGTTGTGTCGTGTCGAATTAGATCCTTGAGGAGTTGTGGACGCAGCATGGTTGGGGTTTCCATGGGCAATTTTTTACGGAGAGAGAGAAGGGAGGACGGAGAGAGATGGGAGGACAGAGAGAGGGAAAAGGAATTGAAATAGACAAGAGAAAGAGGAGGTGCGTGTGAAAGGGAGCTAGGGAGAAGATAAGAGGAGAGAGATAGAGGAGGGAGAAGGAGACCGAGAAATGATAAGAGGAGGGAGAAGAAAGAGAAATCTAAAGAAGATAAGGGAAAGGTGTTGCGGCTGAGGGTGTTGGGATTTTTAGGGTTTCGGTGTCTATTTTTACAAAAAAACTGTCGGAATATTCCGTCGGAAATTTCCCATAGATTTTAATTCCGTTCGTTGGAAAGTTAAAATTCCGATGGAATATTCCGTCGAAAAGCCTAAATATTCCAACGGATTTTTAAAATCCGTCGGAAATTTTTGACATAATATAAATCCATCGGAAATTCCTATTTTTCTGACAGATTTATGTGTCCGTCGGAACCAGTCCGTCAGAAATAAGCCTATTTCTAGTAGTGTTCCCTAAGCACCACCACATCACCACCTAACCGCTACCCCCACCACCTTCTTTCTCTCCCCTAACCTTGACCACACCAGCCAAGTCAACCACGAACTCGCCCTGTAATCCCCCGTAATTATGTGAAATATAAAAATTTATTTTAAAATATTTATGTGAATATTTAATTATGATTATTTATTTACATAATTTACTTTACTATGGTATAAACAAATAAAATTTAATGTTTATAAAGTTAATAAAACTATTTCATTAAAATTATTTCACCACCTATATTTTAATTATTATACAAGTCCAACCCATTATTCATTAAGCCTATTCTTTTTCTAAAACCCACTCACTTTAAGCCCAAGTGACAATCCTAGTTTTATTAGAACTAGGAAACTAAGCCCACCATACTAATAAAACCCTCAAGCTTTCCCCTACTCAAGATTTATTCTATTCTACTACCCTCCTCACTCAATTCTCACGACAAAAACAACTAAAAAAAATTTTATACTGCCTTTCGTGAGCTGCTGCCGCCGGTTTTATCCCACCACCGCGCCGCCTCCAGCCAACATCAGCGTCCTTCAGTCACCGGTTTCGGACTCTCTTGTGTTCTTCCTTCTTCTGTTCTTTTCTTTTGTTAAATTGATTAAAGTTTCAATCTTTATACTTCCTCCGTTTTTTTAATATTGCACCACTTGCCTTATAAGGAAGTTTCACAAATATTGCACCATATCCATTTTAGGAAAGGAATTATTTGTGTTCACACTATAAATACCCAATATACCCTTGCTTTTCAACACTTACATTTTATTTTGTGTATACTATCACATGGGCAACTTTGTATTTCTACCTTTCTCTCTCATCCTTTTTTCCACTACCAAAAAATTTGTGCCAATCTTTTATGGTGCAATAATAAAAGAACGGAGGAAGTATAATTTTTTCATTTGATTATTAATTATTATGGTTTGATTATGTAGATGAGTTATAAAAGATTATAAATTTATGAAGTATACTATGTTTTATTTATGATACAAAATTTCAGATTTATGTATGTATAAAATTTAGGGTTTAAAACTTGATTTTTCATGATTTTAGGGCTTAAAACGTGTTAGTCGAGTTATTTATCTATATAGTATTTATATTATGTTAAAATTATATTTTTGGTGATTAAAACTAATTTTCAGATTATTAAGAACATAGATTTCGGAATTTAAAGCGTCCTAAATCATGTTTCTTAGAGTTTTCTATACACTACATGACTGTTATGATTAATTTCTGTTTAATAGCTTATTAAAGTATCAAGTTTAGAGTTTAAATTAATTTCCAGATTTTTTGTAATCTGAATTTTGTTGTTTTGGTATCAAAAATAATAAGTTTTGATGTTTCTACATATATATATTTAAGCTACTATTCCATTATTACAAATATGGGTTGTTAATTTTGCAAAGGATGCGTATAATTCAAATTTTCAGATTTGGTTTAATTAGTAGCTTAATATGCTGTAATTTCATATATAAAGATGTATTTTAAGGTTTCTATGAAGGAAACTTAAAGAACTATATGTAAGCTTTTGATTTTAATTAAAGGGAGGGTTTTAAAGTGTTATTTAATTGGATTTTGAAGGTTTTAAAGTAAGTTAATATTGCTGTAAATTTGGTTGTTTAGGTATTGATTGAAATCTTATTATATGGTTTAGGAGAGGACTTTATAGAAGGTGATTTCTAGTTGGTTAAGTGGAATACCAACTCGTTTACTCAAGGTACGTACGAGTTACGAAACCTTGCCTTTAGATGCATGTTTAGGGATGTATTGAGAACCTAGTATCATGTATAGAGAAGATTGGGGTAAATTGTTTGGTTATACATTGTGATTTCCGTATATTATGTATGAGGCATGATTGAGATATAAGTATATGAATACGGTTGTGGGTGATGTATACGTGATTGTCTTATCAATTGGATATGTTATGATTAATTAAAGGTTATGGATTCTTGGTTGTTTATAAGTGGAATTAATTTTGATATTGGTTCCATGAGGATAATTTTTAATACTCTTCATGAATTAATTATGATTTGAGTAGAGGGAGTTTATTAAATTCTTTTAAGACGAGGTTCAAGATTTGAAGTGCCCTATGCACTTAAGGTGTTTATACACCGAGGTAGTTAAAGGATTCAATACTAAATATTGTTTGCCACTAATAAATCAAAAATTGAATTGGATCATTGGATTGCTTGGAATGATGTGATATTTGATCGATTATATTGTTTTTCATATGAGTCATCACCAATTCTAAACTTGTAAATCACATAAAGTG